TAAGTAAGAAAGCAATAATGATGGCAACTGATTTCAATTGAATAATTATGATTCCTGGCTTAGCATTGTAATACAACACAGCCATTTATAGAGTATCTCAGATGTTTAGGTTGAATTGAACAAATTATAAGTATAAGGTATTGATATCAGCGTTCGATCGAATAAATACGATTCATGGCTTAGTAATGTAATACAAAACAGCCATGAACTAATTATATGAATTGTTTAGATTATATTAAACAGCTTGAGTGAGAAATCGATGATAACTTCAAACTATAATCAAGTAGATACAATCTATGGTTTCGCCTTGTTATACAAAAGGTCTCTCAACTGAATATGTGAAATATTTAGGTTGTAATGAGCAAATCATAAGCAAGGTATTGATATCAGCGTTAGATTGAATAAATATGATTCATAGCTTAGGACTGCCAAACAAAACAACTATCCACTTAATTATAAAATTTCATCATTTTTAACAAATGACAAGTAAATAAGGAGTGACAAATAATCTGGCAGCCTCTAGTTCGCCTGCTGTTCCGATCAGACCCAATATATCAAACACCTCCACTGCTACTTTTTCTGCATCTAACACTGACTTAACTGAAATTAAAATTACATCTGAAAGAAGTATATAGAAGACTACTCAAAGGTTAACTATAAAGAAAAAATCCTTACAGATTTATGTTACGGGTAAGCGTGTCCGCCTCGAGTCGGCAACTTTATACGACCCTCCAAAAATGGTCAGGAAACATTTTATATTTTAAATTACTCGCTCGCTACTGAAGTATGATCTGAATTAATACTATTGTAAAGGACAGAGATGGGTCTCTATAATAGTTAAGCTATAACAGTTCAAGGCTTATCAACGGCTGAAGGAACGTAACATACTTTTGATCTCTAATAGTACATGCACAAAATGCCACATTTACTGCCAAACCTCAAGCTAAACAAGACATTGGCGTGTAAACAAGTATCCCTAGCAACTAATAATTTAAAATGACTCATTTTATTACATTTAGCTTATCGAATTTTTAACTGGTATGTATAGTAGGATCCGGGCACTTATATTTTCACATAAAACAACAAGCTTATATTTTGACACTATTTAAGAAAACTACTGTTTCGGTATTTCAGAGTCACTATTA